CTTTGCTATTCTTTCGTTTGTGTGTCTTCAATTAACCATTTATTCACAGTATCTCAAAAGTGGATATATATAATGTTTGCCTTTATTACTGAACATAGGTACATTTCAGATATACAAATAGAAACCTTACACATCCAAAGGTCCGAGTCTGCAAAACTTGTTAAATCAAAACACTGAAACAAGAATCAATTTTTTTTTTCCCGTGAGTAGAGATTTGGAAAAATAGGATAAAAATAATTACATTTCGCATTTTTATGAAATCAGTTGAAAAACAGTATGTGGAATCTTAGTTTATCAATTTTAATAATACGTTTGGAAACTCAGAGTGTTACACAACAAGAATCTCTTTTGTTTTTCAGTTCAAATTTTGAAGAAATATATATATATATATTAAGTTTATATTAAGTTCATTATTGTTTTATAATCCCGATTTTAATCGCCTATGAACAATTAATGTATTGTATAGCATTAGGTATATATATATATATATATTAACTATTACAATTCGGTTGTAATACAACCAAGACTCAGACTTTTGGAGATGATCAATCACATCATAAACGTTTTAAAAGACGAATAGTTTAGACAACAAACTAATACGAACATCAAACAATACTGACGAATTATAAGAAAGCAAATCATCTAATCTTTGTGGATTTTAGTTGTTTACGTTTTTTTCATCTACTTCTATATAAACACTGATATAGGACAAAGAGAAAACTGTTGTTCATAGGGAAGAATCATGAATGGCAGAATTCGAACCCTTTTAGGAGTAAAGATAATATATTTGGTCATTTAATCAATCTATAAAAAGTATGGTCGCCATTTTCTCACATCCTTATATTTGAGTCGACAATGGCGATAAACAGCGCTAGTAGGTTAACAAGAGGAAATAACCCCCAAAACACTCAAAATATGTTTACTCTACAATCTTTTCAGGTCCATGAGATACGCCTCGAATCCATTTACGAGACTGCAAATCTTGCTTTGAAAAGGCATGGTCGTCAATCAAACTGTTTATTTGAGAAAGTCATTGAGTTGAAATAAGCAGTTAAAATAGAATATGGTTAAAAAAAACACATTAACATAACATTCGTTTGTTTGTAATTAAGCACAAAGCTAAACAATAGGCTATCTGTGCTCTGCCCACCACGGGTATCGAAACCCGGATTCTAGCGTTGTAAGTCAGCAGACATACCGCTGTGCCACTGGGGGGCAATACATAACATTCAGCGTTTTTTGTTGTTTTTTTGACGTTGACATCATCATTACTGTTAAAATAAGACTATGAGTAATTTCTACTTTAAAAGATATTTCTTTAGTTAAGCTCTCATTCCATTTTGATAAAATATTTTTTTTATTATTTTAAGAAGGAAATAAACATTTGTGGGAACAAGATTCTCTCGATCGTTTGTTTGTTTGCAATTAAGCACAAAGCTACACAATGGGCTATCTGTGCTCTGCCCACCACGGGTATCGAAACCCGGATTCTAGCGTTGTAAGTCCGCAGACATACCGCTGTG